CACCGATGGAATGAATCCCTTCAATGAGAGGATGAGCGACCACAGCACATGGCTAGTGATCTTGACCATGTACAACATCCCAACATGGTTGTGTCAGAAGAGAAAGTACCTTCTCCTCACTATTCTTATTTCTAGCCCTAAACAACCAGGCATTGATATAGACGTGTTCCTCGAGCCTTTGATGCAAGAAATGGAGAGGCTATGGAGGCATGGGGAGCAGATGTACGATACGTTCTGAAAGGAGGACTTCATATGTAGAGCAGTAATATTTGTTACTACCAATGATTACCCCGCGCTGTTTGCTTTATCTGGACAGATCAAAGGAAAGACGGGATGCTTGGTTTGCTTGGATGGTACTACATGGGTGTACCTGGATGCATCCAAGAAGATAGTTTACCTAAGGAACCGACGCTTCTTAAAGACAAGTCACAAGTACCGCAACAAATTGTTCTTTAGATTTTATGACAACGCCCCGGAGATTGAACCCCCTCCGGAGAGACGTCATAACGGAGAACACATGTACAGAATGGTGAAAAACATACGCGTCGTCTATGGAAAGAAGAATCCGGATGGGACAAACAGAGATAGAAGCACACCTCCTGTCGAAGGCGTACCTTTCAAGAAACAATCGATCTTCTTTCAGTATCTACCTTATTGGCCAGACTTGGAGGTCCCTATGCCATTGATGCTATGCACGTGCAGAAGAATGTCTTTGAGAGTCTCATTGCTACCTTGATGGACACAGGCAAGTCAAAGGATGGTCTAAAAGCACAGAAAGACATGGTGCAGCTAACGTGATGCCACAGCTTCACCCGGTACCTGAGGCTAATGGAAAATACACTCTGCCCATGGCGTGCTTCATCCTAACACCAAACGAGAAGAGAGCTATATGCACTTTCTTGAGGGAGATCAAAGTCCCGACTGAGTTTTCAACAAATGTGAAGAAGCTAGTGTCGATGAAGGACTTGTTAATAACACACTGCAAGGCTCACGATTACCATGTGATGCTGACAGTGTTTCTACCTATTGTAATCAGGGCTATAAAGCCAGAGTTCTTGAAAATGGCCATCACCCGCATGTGCTACTTCTTTTCGAAGATCTCACAGAAGATGATTGGCAAGCAAGAGCTGAGTGACCTATATGAATTTGTGGTGGAGACACAAAACCAACTGGAGATGTGTTTACCTCCTGCTTTTTTTGATATAATGCCACATCTCATGATTCACATAGTTCATCAGATATAGGGGGGATCCTTAAGCTGAAGGAATTAAGAAGACGATTCCATAATACGATCAGGGCCCTAGTAAGAGATAAATTGAACCCAGCAATCCCTAACTGGAAAGAGGTACCAGAGAACAAAAGAAATGAACTATGGGATAGGCAGCTGATGCTTAATTTTAGATTTCTGAAGGGTAAGCACGAACTGGTAAAAAAATGCTTTCAGGATGATGGGAGAGTCATTCCGACATTGGAGGTCAGAGCTCAACACGAAGTATATCCAAAAGGGGTTAACTCCCTTCAACGAGTTTGGCAAAATAACTCCTAGTCAATGGGAGGAGCTCGTGGCTCAGAAGACTTCACCGGAGGCATTGGAGCTCAGTGCCGTAACACCGAGCTGGCGAAGAGGAATAAACACCACAATCATCTAGGCCCCGGTGGCTACTATGCCAAGAAAGAGCAGTTTAGGAAGATGGACGAAGAGGCCGCAGCTGCTGAGAATATCGATGTGACGAATTTGAAGGTACGCTCAAGGAATTAGATATATGCGAGGAGTACAAAATCATCTGGCGGTAGTCTTAAGTTTGATAAGTCAAAGACCCAAGAGGTAGTATCAATGATACTGAAATATGCTGAAGACAAGGAGAAGGGCTCATTCAATCCTTCCAGAGAGAGGGACGAGCTTAGCCTTAGCTTGAGAAATAAGGAGCACATAGGCCGCACCAGGGGCTAGGGAAAAGGACGACCTAGAAGCAAGGATTCGAAGAGGATAGGCACATGTACAAGAAATATGGCAGAGACCGAAAGACTAGTCTTGAGCTCCAAGTGAAGACTCTAGTTGCGAAGGTGCTGGAGGAGCAAGGACTGTCTACTGAGCCACGGATATTAGTGACGTTGCCAGGAGAACTGGCATTAGTTGGTAGCCCTTCGAAAGTTCCTAGCAGCCAAGGTTCCACTGCAGCCACAACCCCCGTCGATCACATACGGGAACCAACTAGTTACACCTTGGTGTTTCTCAGCGGCCGGCAGAACACTGTGATGGAGGTGGCAACGGGTGTGGCACATCCTTCTGGTGGCTTACACCACAATAATAAGATACCGCCGGACTACACTAGGGTCGAGGTGCATACAGTGAAGCCCGAGTTCATGCAGTGGAGGATAGACTATGCAACTCTCAAGGGGCTGGTGTTACTCGGAGATGTTATGGGGCAGTTCATCCTCTGGCACAAATGGGACATTATATTGACTGCTTCTTCGCCGCCTCCCCCTCTCCCAAATTTGGAGCGAGTTGTTGAGGTCGGGGAGATATTTTCACTGTCTCGTGACCACCACATTCCTGAGATGCCACATTCTTCCCCGCCTCCTAGCGAGCATGTGCCTGATGAGATGCCACAACCTTCTCCAACTCGTACCGAGCAAGTACATGATAAGATGCCATAGTCTTCTCAACAAGCATAGCCGATACATGATCAACGAGTGCCTCCTGAAGAAGGTGATGCACAAGAAGATGAGGATGTGCCTGAATGGGAACTTCGAAAGAAGCATCCAATCACTATAAGGTCAGCTATGTTCCGATGAAAGACGTCTCGTCGGTGTCCAAGTGGTATTCCCATGATCAGTTCAAGCCTAAGAACCAAGTTAAAAAAGTCCCATCACGGGGTTCTAAAGAGGCCGTCACTAGCAAACTCCACCAAATTGCAAAGCAGTATCCAAATATTGATGCCATCAAATGGTCAAAGGATTGCTCGAAAACATATGAAGAGGCAAGCCCTTCCTACTAAACCGGGACATCCAGCGCCTACCACTTGGAATGAGAAGGTTCCATGATTGGTACTTGTGTGTTCTCCCAACGAGCATAGATCTCATACAAGCATGCTTCCCCACCGGCACATTTGGAAGCCCAGCCGGAAAAATTGTCTTTGACTTCAATGACATGCACATATGCTTTCACCTGGCAGAAATGGAGATGAATCTAATTCGCACGTAGTGCCTGTAAGTCCTTGTCCTCCCGATATGATATGAATGTAATCTTTGAATTTTGTTGTAACTAACCTACGCCGTGATTTGTAGAATGTAAGTGCACATTGTCAAACAAATGCCAAGTGTGAAAGCTAGGTATCTAGACCCTCAAGCTATAGCAAAAACAAATTTTAATTACCCTAAATAGTGGACACTAGATGCCAAAGAGCTAGTTGCTGCAAAGACTCTTCGGGAAAAAGAGCGCATTCGTACGACGTACGGCGAAACTATGGGGAGAGTCCCTTAAGGTTGCGGCATACATTGCCCTGGCTTTCAAAAATCTCCAACAACACTCTACTATATGGCTACCATACAACTTCGAGTAAGTTCAACTCTATACTTAAAGCTTTGTTCGATATATTTTATTTGATGCAAAAGAGCTTATCTAGTTCTATGATTAAATCCATGCAGCAACCACTGAATTTGTATAGCCGTTGATGTCGGGAGGAGCATGGCATGGGTCTTTGATTCAATAGATAGGGACCCGGTGACATACAAAGACTTCATATCAATTCTCAAGACGTATACATATCGATAATCCTCAATAGCTTATATGTTTATATACGTACTTGTAACGTTCACTTTTGGATTCTAACAAGTTGTATTTGCTAAAATAATTTGAACATGGCAGTTAGATTCTATGTCACTAATCATCACGGAAGGCATGATCCAGCAAGGAAGGAAAAGCTGGCTATAAAAACACTATGTGCGGTAAGTGTAACTTACTTCTTCAGTACTCCGTTACATGGCTGCCAAAAGCATTACTTAATATTTTCATATGCAAAACACATAGTGCCCCAAGCAGAAGCCTGGGAGTGTACATTGTGGATACTATATATGTTCTATGATGAGTAACACGGTGCCTACAGGAGACACCCCTTAAGGGTAAGTTTGAACCTCTTCACCCATAGTATAAAAACTTCGTACATATGAAATACTAAACCGAAACTTGTTCTCTTGTAGTGGAGAGAAGAGAAATGAATGAAAAGAGACCCATACAAGGATGATCAACTCTTGGAGCTCGTCGACGACCTTTGCAACTTCATATTGGACCAGATTATACACGTCAAAGGCGCCTACCATGACCGAGAGTTTGAGTTAGGTACAAATCCTCAGTACCAACACCTTTGTGAGACTGAAAGGCTAGCTCTAGGACGTTGATAATAATATGTATGGAATCTATATATTTAATGATGGATTGTATATATTCTTGTGAATTGGAGTTGTAATTGTAGTTTATATAATACTCTTGTGCTTGTAGTCGCGGTCGCGGGGCGTTCGGCAACACGAACGTGGTTCGGAACGTTGGTCGCGGGGCGTTCGACAACGCGAACACTGGTCGCGGGGCGTTCGTCAACACGAACGTGGTTTGGAACGTTGGTCGCGGGGTGTTCGGCAACGCGAACGCGGTTCGGAACATTGGTCGCGGGACGTTCGGCAACGCGATTTTAAATTGTAAATTTGAATTTTTTTTGTGGCGGGAAAACGTACTGTAGGGGCGGTTCTATTGAACCGCCCCTACAAACAGGTATTTGTAGGGGCGGCTGGTGCTATAGCCGCCCCTACAAATCGATTTGTAGGGGCGGCTGGTAATACGAGCCGCCCCTACAAATAGATGATTTGTAGAGACAGTTTGGTAGGGGCGGCTGGCCAAACCACCGCTACAAAGGGTTACGAGCCGCCCCTAAAAATCGATTCTGTAGTAGTGGGCGTTCGCGACGTCGCTGGTCATCATCATCCTTCTCCTCAACAAGCGGTTCTACATGTCGGAGGCCAAGGTGGCCGCGCTCACCCTCACCACCATGGTTGATCTCATGAGCCTCGTCGGCGCCTATATCGCCGGTTCCACCCGCAACATGGCCAACTCCATCTACATCATCGTGCTCACCTGCTTCCTCTTTGTCTGCGTCGTCTACGTCGCCAGGTACGTCCAGCCATTATTAGCTAGCTGCTGGTTCTTGCATGCACACGTTGCATTGTGAGATCATCAATCATTCACGTTACATCTGCTTGCCCAATAATGTGCTAGGGTGCTGCCGACCCTGTGCTTCATCGTGCTCTTCATGTCGCCGTGGATATACCGGCTGGCCAAAAAGGGGTGGCTGCTGGTGACGGAACACATGAAAAAGAGAGTTGAGGTGGCCAAGGAGAGGGAGCGAGAGGAGGAGAAGCAGATGAGACAGCAGGAACATAAAAAGGCCAACAACACCTGCTGCAACTGCTGCTCATGCTTCAAAGCGTCCAAGTACGACGACATTGAGAACAGGGGGCTGCCTGTTATAACTGAAACTAAAATTATTCGCGCATGCATGCGTTAATTACTTCTTGCATTGACATGCCTGCTTAATTTCTCTTCTTGTTACTATATTATTAGGGTCTTCAAAGCACAAATATATATACCTTTGTGTCCTTTTTGAGGAAATGAATAATTTTAGCATCGAGTTGAAAAACAGATATATGTAATAAGGGAGAGGCTCAAATAACTACACAACGAACTTCTTTAGTTTGTTAAATGAGGAAAGGTAGCAAAGCAGCTAATGTGCAATGGCATTTATCTCTTGTACGGTTGTACTGTTCAACTTTACATCATACTACCTCTGCCCATAAAAGAATACAACTCTAGATGCATTCTTGGTTAACGCACCTAAATTTTGACTAAATATATAGGTAAGATACTAATGATTATGATATAAAATAAGTATAGCATCAAAATATATCTTATGACAAATCTAATCATGCTTATTGGATATTATAAAAATATTGGTATATTTTTATAGTTAATCAAACTCTAAGATACTACTTTAACTTGATATAGTGCTAGAATTACATTCTAAGATAATAGTTTAGAATAGTTACAGCACATGCATCACACAAAGTTTTTGTGTTCACCTAAACGGGTCTAAATAGTTGCCTACACATGTTTAAACAATAAACAATGGGTTCATGTGTAGTTTAGTCTCTTGTCACTAAATTAGACGCTAGATGCATCTAAATGATTAAACTAGTAAAAAACGGTTTAAACATGGCATATTAACGGTGGCTAAATGGCTGTAAACACCAAAACATGTGTTTAAACAACTGTTTAGACGATTAACCGTGAAAGTTTGGTTGCTCGATGAATTTCTTGGATGGTTGAAATTGCGTTTGCATATGTAGAGGGGAAATTTTCGTGTTATTTAAATGATGTCTATATGACTATGTGTATGACTATATGCACAATTGTTTATTGTCTATCTCAAATTGTGCAATTATGTTTATACCTCAAATTGCACTTAAAAACTTGTATAAAGATTATAATTTTTATATGTATATCTATTGCTACAGTGTAAACCATTTAAAGCGTCTAGTCGGTTGTCTAAACGTCTAAACGCTGAAGAGAGGGTTCTCACCCGCCTCTAGGAAGTCGTCACCGTTAATGGGAATAATAAAGGTGGGGACATTTGCCACCGAAGTAGCCCATCCTCGTCATACACCATCAACCCCTTCCACTAGATCTGCAGAGAAGGGAGATGTGGATAAGAAGAGCGATCGGAATGTCAAGGTGAAGAGGAGTATCAAAAGCACTTGGATATATTAGAGACCGTCAATCCGTCATGCCTCATGGTCGCCATCCTCCTCGATAGATCCAGCCATGCATGGTCGTTGGATCCCGCACCCTCCTTGATGGATCCGGCCATGGAGGTAGCCAAAGGAGCTCTCGGGCCATGCGTGGCCTGTCAGGATCGCCTCCCTTTTAAGTAGATTACTTAACTAAGTAGTCTTCCATTGACTACCATTAGCTAGACAATAAAGTTAATATGTTATCCTTGTAGATCACCCATATGACGTACTCAACCAAGCTTCATCTAGGATCACGCGGATGGAGAGAATCATTACAACATACAACCAGTTAACATCGCATTAGAAGTAGGTTTACAATAAGTTTGTGCCACAGTCATTACACCACATCATCCAAAGTACACTAGTGGAAGTATTTTACGAAAACAACATAAACAGACCGAGGCCCAAGAACGGGAGAAGATGTGGGGAGGGAGCTGGGTTCAGCCAAATTCGGCCCAAAGGAACTGACGGCCTAAAATGGAAAAAAGGAGAAAGAAAGGAATTCTAGGATGGAAATTTCAAAGAAAATTTGGCCCACGGGTTTTTGAAACCAATTATCTTTTCAAACTTTTTTCCAACCTATTTTAAAGCCTTTTTAAATCTTATTTTTGAAAATTATTTAAACTCCATTTCAAAGCTTTTAAAACTATACTTTTATAAATCATTTTAAATCAACTTTGAAACCATTTCGAAAGCCAAATAAATTATTTAGAAACTTTTTCAAACAAAGTTTTGGGGCTTAGCTTAAATTAGTTTTTGAAACAAACATTTTAAATCACTTTTCTTAAATTGAACCAAACTTATTCATGGCTTGATAATTTTTCTTTTTTCATACAGGAAAATAAATGCAATAAAATGTAATTAAATTATATATTTTAAAAAAATTACACTTTTCATTGTTTAAATTGACACCAACTTAAGTAAAGCTTGGTAAATATAGAAAAATATTAAATACATTTATTTTATTTAATGCATTCTATTTACACCCGAAAATGGAAATTCTAGGGTGTGACAGAAATCAACTCAAAGTACATATGCATGATACTATGCAGATCAATTGATTAATAAGCCATATACAAATGGTGATAACAATTTGAAGCTTAGGTTTTTAGCTAAATACATGCTAACATATAAGGAAGTATGATGAAGGAGAAAGACATTAGTCAGTCACATGGAGTAATCGAAGTTTTTATGGTAACATGCTATGTAAGAGAAAATGCTAGAGTAAAGCTATTCTAAGGTAAAGCCCGCCCATTTTTGATCCAGTTGGTTACTTGAATCTCTACTAGTTCTGATAAAATGGCACTGTTCACACATATAATTGTCAAAAGGAGACGATCCTTGACTTGTGTGCAAAAATCGGCTAGGGCTAGTTTTCTAACTTTGTCAAAATTAAAAATGGACTCGTTCGCGTTTCTCTGTCTAGACGATCGAATAACATGTATAGAACATAAAATTTAAAGTCTGAATGAATAAATCATGCTCCCGAGAAATTTCAGTGTGCAAAAACCGATGAGGATGGTTTTAGTACTTTTCAAACTGGCCTAGGCAGGTTTATACTATCAAAACCAACCCATGCCAAATTCTAGACTGTACAAGCCGGTCCGAGCACCATCTTGTTCAGATTTGGGTTGTACGTTTTTTTTGAAAGGGATTTGGGTTGTATTTGACATGATTTATAAGGGATTTTGGCCTCCCATGGGATAAGTTTGCCCCACCCTATATATAAAGGGTCACAGGCGATTGAGCAGAATACAATCACATAAAACACAAATCAATCTACTTTTACCTATCTTTTTCAAAATCTCTTCCAACCTCATGATGCTTCTCCTCTCTTGGTCCTATGACCAAGGGTGGCACCCTAGACTTGATGACTGACCTTGGGCAATCTATCGATATTCTCGCTCGATGGGGTCCCTTCCAGACGAGAGCTTCGATGACTGCTATGCTAATTTGTCCGAAAACTAGCCATTCTTCGTCACCTAAGCGAGATAGCTATCCTTTACTAGTAGTTTGTTTGTAAACCTTATTATTGTTCTCCACCGCGAAAGCATATTGGTTATCCTATGATCTATTTAGGACCCTTGTGTTCGTTCCATTGTTATGAGTTTGGGACCGACATTCGCGTCAACCGTTGCTACTAATATTGAGTACTTATTACTATATTTAAAAAGTACACAAAATTATGTATTTACGAAAAGCTACGGCAGTGCTGTGAGCCTGTAATACGATGACTGCGTGACTGCACCGTGGAACATATGAGGAAAGCTTAGAACCAACTGACGTACAACGTGTGAACGTCACCAGCACGCTGATTTCTCCTTTCTTTCCACTACAAATGGAGAAGCAACAGATTGGTTCTTTGCTTCAAGGTAGCCGATCGATTAAAGCGACCAATCAAACTGGTGCCTGTTTATTCCTCGCTTCCACCTCTGCAAAACACCTCGTTGAACTGTGATGGCTCTAAACTTCTGTCCCTTTCTGATTTTCGAGCTGACAATATTTAAATGACAGGGATACTCGCGTTTGTCGCTTCTGGTTTAATTTTCTATCGCTTCTGGTTTTCAAGGTCTGGTTAAATCGGTTCAATTATCAAGAATTTCAGTTTTGACAAAATGTTAACCAAATTTATGTTAAAAGACGAACTAATAACCAACCAAAATTGGTTTCAGTTCACTTAACCATTTAATTGTAATACATATTATACTTCTATGGGACATAATGCAACAACATAATTGTATTGAAAAGCCTAACAAAGATGCATCTTGTAATAAAACAAAAGGAAAAACAACAAAGGAAGCTTCCTATTTCGTAATAGGATAAAAACGTACCCAATTGCTGGAGCTAAATACTACTTACTTCCTGTTGCTTTGATTCTTCAATAGTAGAAATTTGTCACAAATAGTAGAAATTTGATTCTTCGGTACATCAGAAGCATGCATGGGATTGTCCGATTCCTTTCTTCTGCATGTAGATATGTACAATTGTATATGTATATGCATCCATTCTTTGTTTTGTCGTCTTTAATAAAGATGTAACATTGGTGTGGACAAGTTGTGCTTGCTTCCAGAGCTTGCAATGGAGACGATGCTCACAATGCAAGGGCGTTACCAGGAATGCACAGACCCAGTATATATATATGGCATGGGGCATGTATAGTTCGCTTGTCTTGGCACATGCATGTGTGCTCGACCAAGCTAATAAACGCCCCAAATTAAAATGTCTTGTCCGATCAATGTCGAGGAAGCACAGGGAAGTCGAGCCATCAGCGTGGCCGACTCTGCTCCGGGCGATGCGACCCCGGCGGTCACCGAGATCAGCGCGACGGGGAAGCGCGGCATCCCGGTGTTCGTGGCGCCGCTGCACAGCCAGAGAGACTGTGATGGCCGAGGCCGCCGCGGCGCCACTGCAGAGGAGTTGATGGGCATGGGGTTCCAGGGCTTCCTCCTCCTGAAGGCGTCGGACGACGACGACCCGGTGGCGCAGCGCAAGAAGTGGTTCAAGGAGATGCGTGGGTGGCTGATGGTGCTGGCCACCGTCGCGGCGTCCGTGACCTACCAGGCCGGCCTGAACCCGCCCGGTGGGTTCTGGCAGGAAGGCGACGATGCCGGCAACCCGGTGCTTCGGGACAAGCACTGGTCGCGGTACATGATCTTCTACTACTTCAACGCCACGGCGTTCGTGACGTCGTTGGTGATCATGGTGCTGCTGATGAGCG